TTATGGTAAGAGATTTGTGCCATTCTTGTCTCTTCTTACTGCAATATAGGTTATGTACTTTCCTAGCTCGTTGTTAAATGTTGGGTCGCGTACCATTCCTATAATAGCTGGATAAGGAGGATGTCCCAAACTTCGCTGATCCTGACGATTGGTACAACATCAAGCTTTTGGTCGCGGCTAGTACGATCGAGAAGCGCAACGCAGGCCTTCGCAAGAATGCTGTTGCACCAAAGACTCAAATCGATGCCACAGCTTCTGTGATGCGAACCTGTGGCATTTATTCGACCAAGGTCACTCACGCCGGTCGACACGCAGGAACATCAGATGCGTACCGTCTGGGCTTAGGCTTGGAGCATATCCGTCACCTTGGGCGTTGGGTAATGGGACAGATGGAGAGTTTCTATGCTCCAAAGAACCCCACCACTGGCGCGTTTTATATGGCTCATTTCAACAAGGAACAGGAACCTTATATCCTTGAGCGTAATCTCGTTATCCCTGACTTGGAGCTGCAGAGGAAAATTTTCCCTTGGATCGAAGGGAACTTTAACAGCAGCGTTAGAGAGAATGAGGAATGGGTCAAGGATTGTAATGATGCTATGACAGATGTAAACCCGGATCTCATCACGGAGGACGACCTGCACTGGGGAGGCTGGCAGGAGCGTATGCGCCATTCGACAGCGGCTAGGGATCAAGATGAAGAAACTACGGGAAGCTCCGCCGCAACGGCCAATAAGCTCATGAACAGCGCAATGATTGATCGAAGAGCTTTCCTACTATTGCTGGTACAAATGAGGAGAGTTATCCTTCAAGACGCCGTGCTGTACCTGAAGCCTGACAGCAAAGGAAGGACTCTGAGCAATAAGCTTTTAGAATCACTTCCAGAAATCTTTGAGAGTCAGCTGTTCCTTGACTTTCAGAGAGAGCTCCTTCGTGCGATCGAAGTGCATCAGCAGAGCGCCAATGTTGTCAATCCATTAGTCCCAGTTGACAAACATGTGGTCTCCAACGCGCTAAACAGCCTTAGTCACCAGAATGCATCTCTTGAAGCAGCTATTGCTCGGCAAGGAGCACAAATGGCACAGCAAGAAGCACAACAAAGGGCGCAGTTGTCTGCCATGAGCTCAGAGCTCGCGACGCTAAAGCAGCAAATGGAGATAGTGATACATTTATTGCAGGATCCGTCAGCTCGCCAAGCTCCAGCGCATCCCTTGAATTCAGCCGGTCTTCTTGGGCCATATCCCCATACTATGCCAAGCTATCCTGCTCTGCGCAGAGTCCCTCAACAGCAGCCGTTTGCGACGCGTCCCCCACAGGTACCTCAACAGCACTCATCGCTGGTTCAAGCTCCTCTACATTGCTTCCAACGAGCGCCAGAGCCATCGCATCACTCGTCCCCAGGCCCCAGCTCATCAAGCGCCACTTTCAAATGGAAAGCAGACCGCGGAAAGCTCACAGTGGCAGATGCTTGGGATGAGTTTCATGGGCCCCTTGCAGCATTTAAAAGATTGAACCCGAGTTGGCCAGTGAATACATCAGACCAAAGGGCCTACAATCGACGATATGAGTTAATTAGGCTGATCAACGAAGCAGCACGAAGGGAAGGTCGCAATCCTGAAGACATTGTTGCTGAGTGGTCACAGGCAAATGAGGGAAAGACTATTAACTCACTGTTGATATCCATGAAAGCTAGGGAGCAAGAGGATCCTGAAGATGACCAATAAATGACAATACACTTCCCAGGTAGGTAACAATAGCATATATAGAAGCATGTACGATAGTAACATATATAATAATAGATATAGTAATAAAATACTAAATGCATTAATTGCTTTGCCAAAAAAATAAAATAAAAAGAAATTGGTATGTTTGTGAGTCGCGCGTTTGCGATCCGTTTGGCGTTTGGTAGCGTCTAAACGCACTTTCTCCTCATTTCCGTTGAGGGAAATAAATGGCGAATAGTATGGAGTATGGATAAAGGGAATGTTAGTTTAGATTAACTTGACCAGATGTGGTCTGTAAAAAGTCAAATAATACCAGAATAGCAAGGTATCTGAAATACTAATGATTGAAAAGGAAGGAATATACGCCGTTTTCACTACATTTTACGCATTCTGTGGTTTATATTGACTACATTATACGCACTTTGACTTAAATATACGCCAAAATGGTTACACAAACAAGACACAGAGCAGTGACAGTCACATTTCAAGACACAGAGCACTCCCTGTCTTAATATTGATTCAGATTCGCTCTATATACTGTATATTGTATATTTATTTTTTAAGGAGGAGGTAGTGGTAATCGGGTGAATAAATGAGATTGTGAAATGAGAGCAAGAAAAACAGTAGCATGCTTCACACGTAGGCTATTTTCCTGTGACCTGTAGGACCTAATTAACATCCTTTAACACTTTTGCCCCATTCCAAACTTCTCCTATTTTCTGTCTTCTGTCTATCTTTGTTTTAAACAGTTTGACATCACAATGCCATCACCTCCAACTGAATCGTATGAAAAGAAAGAAGGAGCGAATGAAGTGTCTTCAAGCACCAATGAGCCTAAAAGCCCCGAGCCAACCGAGCTAAAGATTTTTTGTATTGTTGATGGAGAAGCAACATCTTTTCTTGTAAAGATTCTTTCCAATAGTTCAGTAGATGAACTCAAGCAAGCTATCTATTCGCCTGCCAGGTTTGGTAATATCCCGCCAGAGAAACTGACCCTCTACAAGGTCTCCATCCCTGACGAAGGCGTGGCCATCTTTGAGTCAGACATCAAGTTAAAAATGGCTCTTACAGTCGCGTCAAAGAAGCTTGGGAACATATTTGAATCTGAACTTCCAGATGAAACTATCCATGTTTTTGTTAAGCTGCCACCGCAAGGTATGTATTTAGCTCTTGATGGACTGATATTTTCAAATTGATGAAGCTTATTTTCTTTCATGACGTCATTGATTTGACTTCTGAAAGATAACCCTTTATGTTTGGGATGTATCTTAATTAATCAACTAGTTCCTGCTCCATTACCTGTTGTTCAACCTAGATACCCAACACCCCGAGATTGCAGCTTTGCGTAAACAGCTGTCGGACCTCGAGGCATTGACGAAGAATACCTCCATATGTAAGTGTGGATAGATGTGGATAGAATGAATTAGCAATTTTTTTTATCGTTACAGCTTGGAAAGACGGAATTATAACCACTTTTTATGTCTTTTTTATTTTTATTTTTATTTTTTGCATTCTATTGCGTTGCAGCATTGAGAATCATCGACAAAAGAGGAGGAAAGAAGATTGTTTGCACCTTCGTGACGGATACCAAGACGGCAACTCTCGCTGAATTTCATCTTTTCCTTGAGAAGTACTTTGACCAGTTTGCTGAGGACAAGGACCTCAAGATATTCTTGCATCTGCCGGGTAGCTCAATACCGACAATGCTCATTAGCGATCCCCAACTTCGGTCTATTTTGGCGATTGCAAAGGAGAGTAGCTGGAAAAACCTTGTCATATCCCTGGACAATCCTGGAAAGAGTTTTTCGAAATTCACTTGGAAAGAAGTGATGGAAGAATACAACGTCGGTAAAGGCCCTGAGTTTCTCCCACTGTTTGATATTGAACCAAGGGCGATGACTGACGATGAGAAGCTGATGTTGGAGGAAATAATCAAAGAATGCAGCCGGAAAAACGGGGCCTACATTTTTGGTCCTAGCTCTAGCGAGTTCACAAGGAACTCGATCGTCGACTCTTTCATGGTTGGAGCCATGCAGTCCTACAAAGTGGATATGTATCTTGAGCAACAAGAACTGATAACCGGCCTACGGGGACATGGACCGGTGGATTTTGCTGTGTTGGATCGTATCCACCAGTCGCAAGTTCTTGGAGTCACGGAGGTGAAAAAGGACGATCATGTGAAAGGTATGGCTCAAAATATAGTACAGCTCGACGTCGCACTTCAACAAAAAAAACGAAAACGGACTGAGGCGGATGACGATGGACAAGAGAGGCCCGCCACACGCATCAAGTCATTCGGCATTGTAACCGACGCATTCAAATGGACTTTCGTAGAGTGCACGATGGAGGAAGACGACTCATTGACGTACAAAGCCAAGGAGGTTTTGAGAGATCTAAGACTCAAGAAGGAGGAGACGCTAAGAAAGGATGCAGAAACTCTCTTTTGTTATGTTCTTTCTCTGTACGATCGCATGAAAGATGAGATTGTAAACAGATTCAGCTATAATAGCCCTGTAGTCTCACGTTCATCTTCAGCATCAGCTTCAGCATCAGCTTCAGCGAACAAGAGGCGTGCCTCAGGAACTCAATCGTAGTACTCGATCATTATGAAAAATACACCAACGTATTTTGTTCAAATAAAACAGTTCTTCATGATAAAACCCACATAATCACATTGTTTGAATTAAGCTCTTCATAGTCTGGAGGGACATTACAAGTTCTGTTTTCGAGTCATTTATTATGGATAAAGACTGTTTAAAAATACCTATCAATATTTCCGATCATAGAGCGCTTGATAGCCTTGATAGTTTCGGGAAGAGTCGCATCGTTGTTGTCTCTCGTCGTATTGATGAGGCTCGGCGCATTGGACACATCATTGGAACAATGTTTAAAAAAATAAAAATAAAAAATGCTTTATGAAGCCAAATAGGCTTTATTACGTTATATTTACACTTCAGGGACGACTTTGAATTTCTTTATAAAAAGAATTTGAAAAGTTGCCCCCATGGCCCGTGCGTATACTCTGACCTTCACTGTCCTCTCGTGAGGCTTTTTGCTAAGTTTATTTCGGCTCCCCTATCGCATACAGGTACTTTTATCAAGGCCTATCTAACTATCCTCTTGTTGTTTTTTGCGTGGGTTTTAAACAGCCCCAAGAAGTCCAAAAAGGAACCTAGAAGACACAGAAGACGAAAAAGGTGAGTTCATCCCACTCATAGTTTTGATGATTCTTGAGGAAGTTTGTTTATTACATACTCACGTCAGTCTCGCTATTCTTATATGCTCAAAGAGCACCTTGCAAAGCGCTGTCGTTCCTGGAAGCGACATATTGCAGCCGATGGCGAACCCGTAGATTTACCCCTCCATATACTGGATTTGATCGAGAATAACAAGTACGCACCAGAACCCCGCACCAAGTTCCAATCGCTTTTGACGGTGAAGGGTGGAGATCGAATTACTTCAATGGATCTTGGTCAGAGCCCAAAATTCTTTGCGAAAGGCTACCAAGGTCGCGAGTTTTTTGTGACCGAACAGATGATGAAGCTATGGAATGAGCTCGAGAACAGTGAGTGGTCTGTCCAGAAGTGTTTATCGGGTCCAATGGGCGTCGGTAAATCATACATTTCATGGTTCCTTGTGGCCAAGGCATACGCACATGGTTGGCCAGTGCTTTATATTGCCGATGCTAGTAAGCTTAGCAATTGTGACACTAAAACTGCCGCATCAAAGCTGATCTGTCAAATCTTCTTATCCATCAACAAAGATATTTTGACAGCCTCAGAGCTCAAAGAAATGGTCGCAATTGAAACATCGAAGGATCCTTATGTGAATAGCGCCACCTGTATCTTTGCTGAACTACTCCAGTCAAGAAGTCAAAAGGCATTATTTGTCGTGGATGAGCATGGTGCACTATTTCCAGAAAGTAGTAAGTCTGCGCCCGAAAGGTTCCCATTTTTAGGGCCTCTACAGACTTTCAACTCCTGGAACAACTCAAATAATGCGAGAGTAGTGTTTAGCAGTACGGTAAGATTTGCAAAGCTCATTCTCAGAGACGCATCACATTATGTCGAGTATGTTGGTCCAATGTCGCCTGATATTTTCAATAAGCTACTGGATGTGATCATAGATAATCGCTACCCAACAGGCCGCCAACATTTGAATGAGCTACGAGGCGAGATTCAAAAAGCCACCGGATGTGTGCCACGGGAACTCAATATTTTTTTTGGCGAAGACATTGAAGGCATTGAGCTCACAGCTAATGGGATCAAGCAACGACTAAAGGATTATGAGGAGGATCGCAAAAACAATTCTTGGAGATCTTGAAGAACTGTTATAGTAAAATTGAACCGATATTCCAACCAACTACTCGTCAAGCTCTAGTCGATGTGTTTCTGCAAAGCAAGGATTATACAGGACCGCCACTTGATTGGCGATTCTACCATTTTGGAATAATGTATGAGTATCGGAACAAGGGCAGGAGTATGATTATGAAGCGCCCAATTACACCAGCATCTGAGGCGGCACTTTTGGGACTATACAGGCTATGTCCACTCCCCAACGACTACATATGTGCCGCAAGGCAGAATATCTTGCAACCTGCACAATTTTCCGATGTTTTCTTTCAGAAGCTTATCAAGCAAAACAACATAATCTTCAAGTCGACTAACCTCGCTGGGAAGGAGGAACAACTTTTAGAGCTGAGAGTCGATGGCTTTGAACATCTTCAAGATCCACCTAAAAGATTTGGCGATGAGGGCAAGAATATCTTGATACATGGAGGCGAACTACCTCGATTCGATTTTATACTTGGCTACACTTTTATTCAAGTTTCGATTTCTAATTTTCAAAAACACAACGAGGGCACTGCAGCAATTGATTTGGCATTTACAGATCGGAAATATTCTAATGGCAGAAACCAAATCGAGTATTTCCTAGACTACACATACGGCGGAACTCACAGAGCAGAAATGGAAATAACAGAGGTGACCAAAAAGACCCAAGCTAAGAATACTGGCGAAGGAAAATCAGTAATCGATAAAAGGGACTTCAAAGTAACGAGAGATGGTGTGCTGTGTCCGGACTTTATGATTTTGTATATTCGCGGGAAAAATGACTTTGATGACAAAGGCAACGAAGTACATAGACCCAATCACACTGGTAAAGTCCAGGAGTATCCCCAGATAAGACATGTTTGTTGGGACGAAGCTAAAAGGAGCTTATTTGGTGATTCACTTTAATTTCAAATAAAATATTTTTTGGGCAATTCCTTTTTAAAAAGACGTCATATTGCAGGCATATTTTGTATATTTGTGGAGTTACGGAGTTACCTGAATCCTTAAGATGGTTGCAAATAGCCGAAGGTCTTCAACACTCATAACTTGGAGAGCCCGACTGCATATTATATTTGCGATAATTATTTCTCTGCCCAGGTTCATGCACATACTTGAGGAAGCAATGTTCGAGTACATAGGAATCTCTCTCAATGATGCACTATGCAATAGGTTGAGACTCCACTCAGTAGAAATTGTATTCACATCAACCATCTTATTGCCACTGTCGATCTACTCAAGTCTCCACTCATTACCTTGTTTCGCCTTTATTTTAATGTTCTTCAAGACGAAGGGCCACACTCCTCGGTGGAATGTTTAGCCGGGGGCGACTTTGTATTTCTTATATAAAAAAGAATTTGAAAAGTCGCCCCCATGGTCCATGCGCGTCATAGAGATCCTCGCTCACTTATTAAGGCGACTGTTCGATGCTTGTTGGTTTTCCAAATCTGCTCTGATTTCACCATAGTTTAGCAGAATTGATTAGCATCCCCTGAATAGCTGCCATCCAAAGGGATTAACTTCGAATGGACAGGATTTACTGTGTTGTTCAAAACAATAAAACTTGACTGAAAGTCTGCTAATCCTCAAACTATGAGGCAAATAATGCCTCTGAACGCTTCAATAGGATTATGGCGAGCTTTTGGGGTGCAGAAAAGACAAGATTGTCTCTTTTGAGCAATGAAGGATATAGGATTTGTTCCTTGGAGGCAAACTTTTTTAAAACCACGCTTGTTGCTAGTAAAAACACAAATGGTTCCCGTTTTCCGCATACTTTCAGCGCTTCCACAATCCAAGGGCTGTGATGTAGCCATTAAATGTTACATGTTTGTCGAAGTGTTGACACATCCCTTGCAAAAGTTCAGATGTATGCTAAGAATGTTGTTTAAGGGACGTAGAGTGGTCAATAGCATGTGGCAGTATTCAGGTGTTTATACAGTATCAGATGGAGTCCGAACAGTCGCCATAATGTGGTTCATGCGCTATTTAATATACCGACACTCCTACATTTCCAACATCGCTCACATCCAAGGTACATATGGAGGAGCCGTATTTAAAAAAAAAAAAAAAAAAAAAAAAAAAACAAGCAACCAGAGCAAGGGTTCAAAGAGGCCATTTGTAAAGAAAAAAAATATATAACATAATAAAAAAAAAGTTGCCAGGTTACCTGTGCTCTTCGAGAAGCTCTCTTCCTATTTCCTATTTTCATTCCTCAAGTTTACACATTTTGTCTCTTGATTGAATACAGGTCAATATTGATTTGCTATCCTTTTGCCCGTGACATTTCTCTCTCTATCTCTTTTTTTTTTTTTTTTAAAAAAAAATTCGGCTTAAATTATTTTATTTACCCTAGTCTTTCACGAGAACTTTTTTATGATTGTCTGCAAGGATACTCAAATACACACATGAAAGAAGTTGCTAGATCAAGATGAAACACGCCTTCTCTCTCAACCACTCGGTCTTAAAAGTCTAGGGGAAAAGCATTAGCTAAAGCAACGACCTTCATGTGCCATCTTTCACATTTATTCAGTATGAGAATAAAAATAAAAGAGTCTTTATATGTTTTGATCTTTCATGAGTAATTGTCGTCATGAACGCATCGACTAAAGTACACTAACATGCATGTAATATGTGTATTGTATTGGATGCATGAGTTTTTTTTTTTTTTTTTTTTTTTTTTTATTTTTCCCTTAATGTGCAGCTGTCAAAACTATGTCAGAACTTTACAAAGACAGCATGTGCTATTTTGCTACTTCATCAATCAACAAGATTTTTATTGGATGACTGATTCTCTAGTGCCCTAGTTTTAGAGATCCCGTTACTGCTTGATTACTTGATTTTCCCCCCGTTTTGACGCCTTTTTTTTTTTTTTTTTTTTTTGTCCCATGATAAATCGTGTACATGTACAGTCATTGGCTTGTTTGCTTTGTCAAACAACTTTCTCGGATTGATTCGACCACCGCATAAACAATAGAGTCTGAGACCGATTTTTTTTTTTTTTAACCTCTAGGTTTTGGTGCACAGGTAAATATCCCTAATTGCATTTGGTGTAAAACAGCCTTGGGAGGGGGTTTGAAAGCCCCCTCCCGCCTTTGTGCCAAGTTTTATATGGTTATCAATGTGTTCAGCCCAATAGAAACAAAAGAACAATCTCTGTGTTCATGCAATGCAATGCGAATTACCATAATCCACTCTTTTTACACCGATGTGTTTGGTTTTTTTTCCCCACCATAAAATGGAATGTCTACGAATCATCAAGTATAAATTGATCAGCATAAAAAATGATAGAAAAGAAAGAAAGGAATATTATACATTGTTGTTAAATGAAGGATTGGTTTCTTTACAAAGTATTTAAATCTCTATAGCGGAATTGGGCACTGCACCGTTGGGTGCATATTGTAGATGTACGATCGATATCAATGATCATCTTGGATAGTCTCTCGAAGGCTTTCCCTCACCATCTTTGTCCCGGCAACTGGAGGTAGAGAGAGCTGAAGGGAAGGAAAGAAAAAGAATAGAGCGAGAGAAAAAGCTGCCGCTGGATTATCTAGACAGAATAGTAAGGTGATGGCGGATGTATGGAGGAGATTGGACTCTTTTGCAATTGATGCGAGCATAGCGCGACTTCCGCTTCGGGTAAGGCAAACTGTTACAGTAGCAGTCTAGGCCATAGCAGAAATGGTTAGAGAATAAAGCCCTGCCACTGTTTTTGAGATGAAGTTGTACTTACTGTACTTGTGCCAAAGTGATGGCATCATCAGCGAGCCATTTTTCTATGGTCTCATCAAAAATACTCATTTGTCGTCCAGCAGCGGGCATGATCTTCGGGTATACTTTCAGGATATTGATATCAATCAACCCCTCCCAGTTGTGCTTTTGGGAGCACGTGATAAGTTCCTTTTTGTACATGTACACAGTTAAGGGAGCACTCAGTAGTTTCGTGTAATTTGTGTAACAAAGAAAAAGCAAAAGCGCTGTTATTAATGGGTCTTGAAAAAAGTGAATTCGTGGGGGGCGTCGAGCTGTAAAATGAGGATTTTTCTTTTTAACTTCCAGCCATCCACTTGACATTTTAAAATGGACTCCACTTCACGCGAACAAAAGCAGCAGCAATCCTCTCAACACTCTGACCATTCTCCTTCTCCATCACCACGATCTGTTGTTGCATCACTCCGATAATCCGATAAAATCACTACCAAATTTATCTGATCAGAGTGTATCGCGTGGTGAAAAGTCATCTGAAAGAAAGTTTGATCAAAATGGGGTTTTCTGACTTTTTTTTTTTTTTTTATTTTTTTTTTTATATATTTTGAACCTCTGACAAACAGCTCATATGTGACATACATAAAGACTTCATTAACCAAGATAAAAGTCTACATTTTTGTTATTGAGGTCAATGAGAGTAACCACTGAGGTTTTTGAGCAGTACTTCCTAAGGGAAAACGGCAAGGAAAAGGATTGAAGACAGTGCTTCTCTTCATAACCATTTCAAACTTTCTTTCAGGTGGGTGTACAATAAATATAATGGATATTTAATAACTTGCTTCATTTACTTATGACCATTTGCATGAGCCGCCGTCGTTTCTCTACTCTTTGCTTTAATATTTCTCTGTGCTCGAAACCAACTTGCCCTGATGATCTTGAATGAGCTCAACTATGAAGTTGAATTGCCGAGGCGTCACTCTCATAGCACTCACAAAGTCCTTTTCGTGGAGCCCCGAAAGCGTTTCATCACGATAGACTGGCGACCGAAAGGGGGGGGGGATGTCGTCGTCTGTCGGGACATTTGGATCGACCCCCAGCATTTCTTTGGTGCACTCCTCTCTCCAGGAGTCAGCTCTCTCCGGCATATCTTTATCAAAATTTTCCTCAATCCAAGGAAAGACCAGACGCTGGAGCTCTAAGGGCGGGGTGACCAAATCACGCTCGATAAAGTAAGGCTCATTCGGTCCAAACTGAGCCATACAAAAAGCGCCCCTGGTTGGGTTTTTTGGAGCATAGAAGTTCTCCATTTGCCCCATGACCCACCTTCCCAAGTGGCGAATATCATCCAGGCTTAAGCCTCTTTCATAGGCTTCCGAGACTCCCCGCATGCCAGAGTGTGTGATGTTTGGCCGAGTGTACGTCGCAGGTACGCATTACAGCCGCCGTGCTGCTCATTTGAGTTCGGCCAGCAAGCGCTTCATTTCGGTTCTCTGACCGTTCTTGGCTTGTGCCGCCTCCTGTTAGCGCCTTGATGCTGTACCACTCGTCAGGGTCCGCGAAATTGGGGAGAGGCTCTTCGAACACCTATAATAGAAAAAAAAGAAAAAAAGAAAAGAAAAAAAGAAAAGAAAAAAAGAAAAGAAAAGAAAAGAAAAGAAAAGGAAGGATACATATCACTTTGCGTAATTGAATAAGAAAAAAATCATACGTTCGCGCCAAGACTAATGGCATCACTTACCTGGAGCCGTTCTAATAAACCCGCCTACGGTGCATCTTAAGAATAGCTTATGTCGATAAGCTGTCGCGTAGAGCTCGGCGCCTTTATGGTTTGTCTTTCCACGTGTAATGCAGAAGACAAGTCCCGGCGCCAGCTTTGGCCCTGGCGCCCTCCATTAGGCGCTCTTCATCGTTTATTTATATTAGTCTATTTAAGGTGTTTACTCGACCAGTTAAGGGTGTCGGGTGACGGGTCTGAATATTGAATGTGTTTGCCAGGTTCAAGTTCCGGATGTCCTCATCTCGCAGCAGCAAATGATGGTACGCAAGGAGGCCTCATATACTGAAATCGCGCAACACTGTCATATGGTCGCCTGCCGCTTACTCCGATCGTCGGAAGCATGCGCCATGTAAAGGCCGCTGGATTCAAGAGATCTTGCAATAAATGTATCAATACTTTCATTTGCTACTTTAGCGTCATGAGCTCTGAGCTCATGGCAAACAACTGCGCCCTTTATCGCGCCTCTTGTCGAGTAATAGCTGCTTCAAGAGATGCATTTTGGTGGCTGAGGCTGTTTAGGGCATCGGAGACAACATGTGTGTCAATTGGGGACCAGCTATTATAGGAGTGATCTGCAACCCAACATTTTAACAAGTTAGGAAAAGTAAATATTCTTATTCATATTTCAATTACTCAATCACTATCTTAATGGTCTTAACCACTTGTTAGCTACCCTCAAGCGAGCTTCTTTCCTTCCATCATTTTCCTTTGAGTAAGGATGAGGAATGAAGAAATGAGAAATGGAGGAATGAAGAATTGAGCATGAAGCAATGTGTTGATTTGATCAGATTGCTTTGTGAGCGGCGCGCTACGCACGCGCTGTTTTTTTTTTTTTTTTAGTCTGTGTCTGCACGTGAAACCTATGAAACATTTGCCCATTAATGGGCATGCATCGGAATTTGATTAAGTAAACTATTACAGTATCGAGGAAGTGAGACGGTATGCAAAAGTCTCCAGCCATGTTTTCAATAGGCCCTTGGATTGATTTAGCTAGCTAACATGGGGAGGGGGGGGGGGGGGGGGGGTTCAGAAAGGATCTATGTTTCTACAACTCAAGCACCCAACAGTATTTATAACTTCTTTGAGAGGTCGGTATGACTTCTGTAGTTGGTTCACCAGGGCCAGTATAAAGGGACTGTTAATGGATATGGATGTGAAAGTGTTAGGCTTGATAATGTCTAACTGAATAGCCTATATAGTATTGTCCAAGATCAATTGGCGAATACCTTCCATCTGTCTGATATTTCCCATGGTGGCGGCCTTAGCTGTTGACACTGGGATCAATCGAGGCAATGCTGATAAAATACTCGTAAAGTATTCGAATAGCAATTTGACGCTTCGCCTCCAATATCGAAATCAGACTGACAGGCGGGTACGTCTATCCATAAGCGATATTGATAATGGCCATATTTGAGAAGGCGCTTTTTATTGACTCATCACCGTAAGAATTGGCTTTTTCACATAGCAACCAAGGACACTTGAGGGGGTCCGTCCAGGTGACAGCTGTGGTAAAAAAAATAATAATAATTCGACTGTCAAATGACATCATGCATAAAATTTTAGAACAGGGCAAGCACACCGAGTGCATATAAATGAATTAAGCTTAATAAAAATATCACAAAGCGCGGAAAAAAAATAAATGTTGCGCATTTGCGATGCTGAAGCACCTTGAGGAGTATATGGTGTGAGAGCACATGTCCTTGAGCAAAACTTTTAACATGCACATGCACTTTTACCATCTTTGCTAAAAGCAGCAGCTCCAATTCATAGTGATCATTCCTACAGAAAACCTACTATCTTCATCTGAGACCCTCGGTGGGGAATTTAAGGAAATGATCTCGGGCATTACAGATTCTGGTGAGTTTTTATTTTAATTTTTTCATTGTTTTTGGCGGCAGGGATAGCGTACTTAGTATCAGAGATTAACGAACTGTCTCAAGCGGCGTCATCTAGCTGAGCTTGATAACAATTTAGACAGAGCCAGATTTAGTGATGCTAGTGATAGTGAAGACAACGAAAGTAAGTGCTACCAGGACTCAAACTTTGTATTAAACGTCAGAGACATCGGCGAGTAAGTAACTTCTAGACAAATAAGCTCAAATAGTTTACAAGATGAAATAAATATAAGGGATCGTTTATTATTATTCCAAAACCTCGTTGAATAAAAAAAGGCATATATAAACTGGATCTTGCATAGTGCATCATGGATGTAGTTCTGATTCTGGATGAGGTGTCATCTATCTTTGGTCAGATGACAAGTGTTACCGCCATGAGAGGTTTTCACAAGGCTAATAATGATATATTACGAGACTTCATTTATTTGTTTCTGTGGAGAAAATGAACCCTGAAATCAAAACAATCTCCTTTAAGCTTGAAGAACGAACTTCACTTTGTTCCAGCTCTCTTGAGAGCTACGAGAGTTCATTTGAAGTGGATCAGATTAGGCCCGATAAGAAGTTGGTCATCATTTTGTATCATAACCAAATCATCAATTTAATCAATGTTTTTTTACAACGCTAGAATGATAAAAGGCTCGATTGTCTTATATTAATATCTAGTTACTCTCATGAAACACAAGGAAAAAAGTACTATTGATTCATTGTTTGATAACACTTTTCCATATCGCCGTATTCCATATCGTCGTCCTCATCATCCTTCTCATCCGTATCACCCTCATCAGCTTCCATCGCGTCGCCTATAGCTATATTTCCATTTGCTGCCTCATGTGGACGTCTGACTGAAGCAGTAAATGTTTGAAGGTGCTTTGTTTCTTTCAGCTTGATAAGGCCTCTTGTGGAGAGATTTTCCACAGGGCTTGCGTTAGCGGTTTGCGGGTGAGATTTTGAAGGATTTTCTTTATCATAGAGGCTCAGATTATCGAACTCCTTGAGGGTTGCGAGGATTTCATTGATATCACCGCTTGGAGGTTTTACGGCATGTTTGGTGCCTGCGTAAGAAACATCAAACGCATTTCCCATCTGCTCTCCAACTTGTCCGAGAGAGTGGATGTTGACCGACAGCGACCCGTCTAGCACGTCCCAATTTGCAGCCCTTGCTCTTGCCTGGTGCATCTTTTTGATGAGCAGGTTATTATGCTCTTGATAAAGATCAGTAGGTATCCAGCGGTTTTCTTGGCCTGTAGTATTTACCAACCATGAGGACATGTCAGCTTTTACTGTCTGATCGGTCCAGGCGCATTTGAGACCGCGCTGTAATCGCAAAAGTTCATACGCATAGTTCTTTGTACCCCCAACCTGACAAAAAATAGTGACCCATACTAACATCTCATGTATGCGCCCAGTGTCTCCAGCCTTGATAGCAGATGATAGCTCTATATATATAAGCATATCCCTTATGAATAGAGCAGCGATCATAGATACGGTCCCATTGAGCTGCTCCAGTTCGCTTAGCTCCATAAGCTTGTCCAGAACAATGTCTATACGCTGCTCGAGTTTTTCTTGCAGAATATAGTCGAGCATGCCCTGTACGCCTGCTTCTAGGTCATCGCTGAAAAATATTTAGACAGTAGTTATCAGAAGCTAAGATAAGTGAGAATAAGATGTGGATCCACACACCACATCCATGGGGTATTTATTCATTTTCTGGTAGAGAGACTCGTACCAAGTAACTACATATCTATCTAGAAGCGACATGGGATTATTCAGGAACCATGTCGGTGTTTTGTCGCGTCTCTAGTGACGCGTTATTATTATTATACTTTTCTTAGCGTATTAATTTTAGGAATTCCCCTAGTATGTTCCTAGTGTGTTTTTAGTATTTTTCTTAATCTTATAGCTGGGCCGTTATTATCTTGTATATTGAAATATACAACAATCGCATCCTAGGTCAAGCCCCCACGCGCGGATTACCATGGCATCAAACGTATGTTGAAGAAGTTCATTTGTTGCGTAGAAATCAGGCCCATCAAGGGTGACACGATTCCTCCCTAGCATTGATGCATAGAAAGCTAGTGATCCTGGCACTCCTATGTCACCATAGTGGGTACGTAAAATCGTTGTAGCAAGCATCATCTGCAGATGAAAAAGCTCTATCACAGGAATCGCCCAATCAAATCTCTCGTAGGACGAAATGTCATCGCACCGTTGCTTCTGCAGTGAATGGATTCTGCTCACCGTAAGCTGATCACCGGAAATCAGGACCCTTTTCCCATTGAACCAATCAGAGCAAATTTAGGTGTACCTTTCATCACAGTCTCCAGAACATCCCTATTTGCATCAAACGGTTATAGATCCTCAACGCAAAGAAGCCGAGCAGGATTGGTATCTCGTTCTTCTTCTGCAGTCTCCTTTGAGATAATAACCGTTGCTGCGGTTCCACTCTCAAATAAGTCGCGGTTGTCGAGCCGTTGATCATGCTTACGACAGGCCATATTGATGTTGTCAAAGACAACGTGAAAGGATTCGGCCTTGACTTTACCTTGGACGCCTTTGAGAGTGTCTTCGGACAATGAACCCATAGCCTTGAGGATCGATTGATGAGAGATCGACATCCCCGCCTTCGATAATAGCGTGATGAGTTTCCGTGACGCGCCCTGATGGAACAGAATAGCCCAAGCATCATTTGAAAGTAATTACAGTTGCGATTGCGGAGAAACGCAAAGATGCTGACAACTACAGGCACGACTTTCGATGGGTCCCTCGAACATGTATCATTTGCATGCGTAATACCCGACAAGAATGCGCAAAGAACAGGAGCTTTGGCCTTGAAAATCCTGTCAATAGACTCGAGCTCAAACTTTTCAATCTTTTCCAGAGTGATATCGCTTGCCGGGAATCGCAAGGCTTTAATTGGGATGCCTGTTGCAGCTCGTCTTTGACATAGCTGAGGACAAAATTGGTGGCGGCACGAACTTCTCTCTTGGTGTTGGGAATCTGTCATCTGACCCCAGAGAGCGATAGTTTCAGCAGGTCCTTCACTGTCGTTATAGTAACGAACTCTCGTTTTGACAACATTATCTTCCGATGAGAAACACGCTTGCAAAAAGGTCTTGAGCGATAGTCTTTGTCTTTTCATTTCATCAAAGACTCGCCTCAATTGAGTATCAGACATTTTGTATATATATATTTATATTGTATATTTATTTTTTAAGGAGGTAGTGGTAATCGGGTGATTAAATGAGATTGTGAAATGAGAGCAAGAAAAACAGTAGCATGCTTCACACGTAGGCTATTTTCCCGTGACCTGTAGGACTTTGCTTGAACAAAAAAAAAAAAAAAAAGCTATCCCGTGTGGTGTAAATGACTTAGAAAAAAAAAGAGCCTTTCCTAGCGGTGTGTTTGACTTGGAGACCTCCAGCCAAGTTTGGTCCCAGAAGTATCTGTAAGCAAGCCACATTTGCCTTTCAGCACGTGCATGTGCACATGAAGTTCGTCCTCAGGCTAGTGACGAGCGTTAGTGCAATGCACATAAGCCACACAGGCTGGCGACGAGCCTTTTTTTTTTTTTTTTTTTTTCACCTAATTAACATCCTTTAACACTTTTGCCCCATTCCAAACTTCTCCTATTTTCTGTCTTCTGTCTATCTTTGTTTTAAACAGTTTGACATCACAATGCCATCACCTCCAACTGAATCGTATGAAAAGAAAGAAGGAGCGAATGAAGTGTCTTCAAGCACCAATGAGCCTAAAAGCCTCGAGCCAACCGAGCTAAAGATTTTTTGTATTGTTGATGGAGAAGCAACATCTTTTCTTGTAAAGATTCTTTCCAATAGTTCAGTAGATGAACTCAAGCAAGCTATCTATTCGCCTGCCAGGTTTGGTAATATCCCGCCAGAGAAACTGACCCTCTACAAGGTCTCCATCCCTGACGAAGGCAAGACCGTCGTCGAGTCAGAAATCGAGTCAAAAGAGGCTCTTACAGTCGCATCAAGGGAGCTTGGGGACATATTCAACTCTGAACTTCCAAAGGAAACTATCCATGTTCTTGTCAAGCCACCACAGAAAGGTATGTATTTGGCTCTTGATGGACTGATTGTTGATATTTTCAGCCGATGGAGCTTATTTTCTGTCTCACCATGGTTATGTAATACCCCCAAAGCCATCCTTCCTCCACCTTGGATTGTCACAAGTTATCCGCAGTTGCGCGCCACCAAAACATTTCCTGCACTAAAATTGGTGGCAATTACAACTGCGCAGCACAACAATCCACTTTTGTATAATTTCAACTGATCTCATCAATGCCTCTTTTTAACCTTTTATAAACCACACTACTCTTCTTTCCCACTCATACCTAAGATATCAGCTTTTTCTTTTATTGTGACTCTTTATTGTTATATTATTATTATTTGTCTTATTCCCGTGGCATGGTAGTAACATGATCATTGATGCAATTGTTGACATATTCATGTCCAGGTTCAGCACTTTAAATCATATTTCTGTTGCAGCTGCTTTGATCAGACATTGATATGTACTTCTCTTATATCTGACTAACGTGCTTATTTTCCATTCTTTCTCACTGTGATGACGCGCATGGCATGTGGCAAAATTAGCTTCTCAAGGTATGTACTTCGACTAAACTCTATTTATCCGGTGGGTAGACCTCTAATAAAAAGGGAACTCTACCCACCATCAGCATGGTCCATGCAACTGCTGCCTCTTCGTCCTCTTGCAGGCCTTCTTGCTGTTACAACTTTTATTTTTATTTGATTTATGCATTTGTCACCTTTTTCTGATTGTGCCTACTTCACGTACGCATTCATTCCTTGGGTCTTTTGATTGAGTTTGCACACCCGGAGCCTATTCCTAATGCCCTTTCTTTTCTTTTCTTTTCTTTTCTTTTTTTTTGTGGTTGTGGATTGAGTCAATTTCTCGTTTAATCTTTTGCTACATGCTGCAGCTTATTCTAACGCCTTTTCTTGAAACATTATGGATACTTAGGTCCAAGAGCTTTAGAACTAAATGATGAGGATGGTAAGAGATTTGTCGGGTTATATTACGGGTTATATAGCACATTAGTTTTTACGGCATATTAACATTGTCCGTCACATGTCATATCTAGAGAGACTCTGGCTTGAGAGAATCAAGAAGGGATTCTTCCAGGGAAAGGTCAAGCAATTCCTAGAATCATACGCCAATGGTGACCTTAAACTTCCACTGACTGGGGGAGTTGTGTCAGGTCTACCGAAAGTCCCTAGGAGAGGAACGCCAAGCGAGAAAAAAGAATGGCCAAGTCTTCTTCTCCTTAGCCCATCGACATCTCTCAATAACACTATATACCATCCATGTGAAGAGGCAATCAAAAAAATTTATGAAGATGATCCTCGTCAACTATCATTGTTTGGAGTTAGTGGTTGCGGGAAGACCAGGACTGTCATCGAGATTCTTTCCCAGAAATGGGGCATCTATTTGAACGCCAGCAGCACCGATAGAGGATCCAATGACTTGACATCGCTTGCTAAGTTTATGCAAGAGGCAAATTTGGCACGGTTATATAATAATCAAGATAAGGCAGAAAATGGCCTTAACACACAAGCAATCACGCACTGCCTACTCCTGTCAAGACTACTGATCTTCCAACACTGTCTGGGATTGAACAAAAACCTAACTTGTGAAAGCTTGATGCTCTTGCAGGTTTGCCCCTCAGCTTTCAGCAAGGAGGTACCCGATATTTTTGACAAGCTTTTCAATACTATAGCCGCAAGCTTCCACGAGGGAGGTGTTGGAAGAGGGAACGTACGCCGTGTCGTTCAAAAAGCTTTTGAACAAGTTCAAAGTCAACTGAATCCATCGACCAAAATTCTGATTGTAGTTGATGAGGCTCAGAATTTCAGCCGAGTATTTGAGAAACGATTCCAATCGAACCTACCCGATAGCAGACCGAGGCCATTACTATCGCCTGTAGTCCATGGCCTTGAAACAGTAACCACGGATTCGCAACATGTTTGTATCATTCCGTGTGGGACTGGCCTTAGTCTTAATGACCTTCAATGGTTGGAGGATTCTGGCGCAGAAGCCAAAGGTACCAAGGAACCGGATGGAGGTCAATCCTATCGTATCACCAATTTTTCTGGATGGAGTAGTATAGCACAAATCACCGAATACTTAGAGCGTCTTAAAGATCAAGTGACTACAGGTCGTGAAAAAATCGATGAAATGATACCGCCAGCTGCAGTCGATACGATGTACCGACTCCTCCGAGGCCGATTCCGACCCATTATCAGCGTGATCGAGGGAACTATATGGAAGCACAATGCGATCGAGGAGACTAAAAGGGAGCAAAATGAGCCAGGATCTCAAGAAGAGCCAATCTGGATGAAGGAGATAAAGGACGTGCAACAAAGGCTAACAACTTGCCCTGGTGATTTGAACCAGAGGAAAAGGGGGAACTTATGCTCTGACTTTCATCACGCTATGAAGACGCTTAATGTGGAGGAAGAACAGAAATCTGAGATGCTCTATCTCGTCAAATTAGCACTTGTTCGCATGGTGTTATTTGGAGCGCAAACTGTTATCCCTAAGGAACTTCCCCAACTTGTAGAATCGGCGCTTGGTAGGATGGAGTTTATCAAGTCAAAATCGTCAGAATATCGTACAGTGATCGACGAACCATTTGTGTTTCTTGCAGTCCACAATTACTTTCAAAAATCAGACCCTGGATTTCACAACATGATAGTTACCTATTGGACATTCACTAAAGACCCCAAAATACATGGAAAATTTTGGGAGTATCAAGTTCCTTTGAGCTTGATCAACATCTTCCACAACAAGACGCTTGCGAAAAAGATGTTTCCAAAAAATGCACCTCTGGATCTGGTTGATCACGAAGCCACCATAGTTGGATGGAAAAAATCCTGCATTGGAGCTAATTGCAGTGACTTGACTATGGAGCAATTCTTGGAGGCCCATTTCGACCATGATTCGAGGATTGATAAAAGAGAGATTCCTCCATTTTATTTCCCCACGGACGAAATCACTGGTCCAGACATTGTGTTTATTCTCAAGATCAACAAAAAGATGTACCTCGTATTTGTCCAGCTCAAATTCGTGAAGAAGCTTGATGGTATGAAAGCAGCACACGCCTTAGAGACAATTAGCCGCGACGCGATCAATGTACACCATTTGCCCAACTTTGACCGCTTTTGCCCTCCGAATGAAAGGTATCTTAGCTTGTTGTTAATGTATCCTGGAAAATTGTCAGATAAAAATAAGACCATGCATCCCCCAGATTCAAGGCAGGCTCTAATGGTGATAGATGAGGGCAACATTGCCGAATACTTTCATGAGAACGAGATTGAGCTATTGGATTCCATCAAGAGAAGTGGAGAGGCAATTGAGCATGGAAGAGAAAAGAAGATCAAATCCAACGAGCAAGAATCGTCCTTAACACTGCAAGATGGCGACTAATTGTTTTCAGAAAATAAAAAAAGCTTATTCATTCACATAAACGTTTGTAACAACCCAGTTTATTTTGTTGAACTCTCTTGGTGCAGAGATTGCACCTTCTTGGAAAACTGTGCGTGCTCTTCCAGCGTGTGAGTGCGCATCACAAATGATCCTCCTGCACTCTCACAAGCCTGGGAAAGGTCATCCTTACTCATCTTGAACACAGTCCTCCTCGTAAGCTCTGTTGGCCCCGTGGGATACCCAGATGCAGGGATCTAGCAGGCAGAGCTCGAATATCTCTGGTACATGATGAAAAAAAAAAAAAAAAAAAAAAAAAAAAAAGCAGGTTAAAAGTATGATTTGGAGCAGAAAGAAGCAGAATGAACCTCAATTTATAATCGCCATGGTCTGTCTCATTGCATTCCGGACAGTCAATGGACCGATCCAGATTTGACGATGTTAATAAAGTCTACTATGTGGATCCTGCGGACCATGACAAAAATAAGGAAATATTACAGAGCGTTTTTCGCTGATGCTCATAGGCGCACGTGCCTCTGGAAAAACAACACGGTTGTATCGACTTATCACCCAATTAACTGACTTTGGGTATCGCTGCCTCCCGTAAGCCAACTTCCGCGAAAATGGATAAAGTGGATGCAATGTATGCGCTATTGTACCGGTACTGACCTTATATTTTTCATTTAGACTATCATTTGAGGAAGTTAACGTTCGCAATAATGAGTCTGTTTTCTGGAGAACTTTTGGTGATGCTCTTCGTTTCAGCTATGAAGCGGTCAGTGTTATTACAACCCAACGAGAATTCCTCAATGCTTTCAGTCAAACTAAACTCAAGGACGAGAAGATTGTCATCTTGATTGATGAGTTTGATGAACTGTTCAAAGCAGGTGATGAAGTCAGAAATATTTTTTTGAAAACACTCCGAGCAATGGGTAGAAACAATGCCTACGCCATTCACAGTGTTATCGTATGTGGAACCTTTAGTCTTCAGCGCCTTCGCACAACAGATCAACACATATCCCGTTCAATGTCAACAATACTATCAGGAACCCGTATTTCACTCTTGATCAAACGCAGCAGCTCTTTAATGACTATGCGAAGGATGAGATGATTAAAATAAATGATGAGATTATTCGAGACGTACACTCGAAGTCAAATGGGTATGTTTTTTAAGCTTAGTTAACTCTCCACGAGTTGATGTGCCATTCTAATACAATGAATTGTGCTCAATGTAAATAGTCATCCAGGAATGATTTGTCTTTGTGGACGCTCCATTCATGAGGATCTTCGCTCGAAAGTCGACGGCTCGACGAAATGTCTCGATTACGATACATGGCAGGACTTCTCCACAGACAATCAGAATAAGAGGATGCTTTCGTACCATACTTTCAGAAGGATGGTCGATTCACTTTTGAATGAATCAGCTACAGATGCTGTTAATCTTCTCCGAACAGATTTTATTGGGTATCTCGGCGATATATCTATCACAGACATGGAACAACAGAGATTGGCAGACTTCCTAACTGCAGAAGGGGTGCTGATAAGACTTGATGGCAGTAACTACCGTATGGCCTCAGCATTCATTGACTCGTTTGTGAGGAGATATATTATCCCATTAAAATATCCTCACGCTCCTTCAGAGTCACCCCCAAAGAAAAGAGGAGGATCATTGGATATTCTAGAGATTATGAAGATTGCTCTTCGATTTTTCGATAAAGACTTGATTTTGCAGGCGGAAGATCGATCATACAAAAGTTCGGGAGAACAGTTAAGGTTATGGGCGACTACAACGCCAGTGTCCCTCGAGAAAGCGTCTATGACACGGAATTGATGAGAGTTCTCACCAACTGGCTAAACAAAACAAAAAAATATGAGATCATTGGCCAGTGGCACCTCCGTGAGCGTGAGGACCACAAATATAGTGACATTGTCATCAAGAAAGCAGGAAAACCTACGGTTGTTATCGAGCTTTTGGCTACAGGGAGTCAAACTTCTATTAAGGACCATATCAGCAAGACGCTAACTTACAAACGTTTACTCCCAGCAGAAGAAGCTTGGGTTGTTCATTTTACCTGTGAGGACGACTATTTTAAGCACCCATACTGGCAAACCGACGCGG